TGTAATATTAGTTTGAATAAATGAAGAAATGTTAAATAGGATTAATTAAACCTCATCTTTTTATTTACCATTATTCCTCAGACATCTCAATATTGCTTAATAATTATATATTGCTGATTGATTATATATATATATATATATATATATATATATATATATATATATATATATGACTGAAAATATACAGGTAGTCCTTGAGATATGAATGTAATGGATACTGCCAATTACATTTGTAATCCAAGGATTCATAGGAGTGAATTGCATAACTGACTGTGATTACTCCCTGGTTTTGTCCATGCATTTGCTAATTGAATGTGCGGCACAAGGTATCTGAGTGGGGAAGGCTATGGAGGGGGGCTATTGATAGATCAGGCCACCTGCTTAAGACCACCCAAGGCCTTCCCCTGACCCACTGAGATACCTCTTGCTCCCCACGATTGCTTCTCCCATCATCCTGCCACGCTGGGCAGGCCTGTGAAGACTGACTTTTCGAAGATCTAGTGAGCTGTTTCCTCTCCAGACTCTTTCCACTTTTGTAGAGAATGGATGCCTGAAGTCCTGTGAGATCAGGGCACTCAGAAGTTTCCAGTCTGTGCAAGAAAATTGTTTGCACGCTAATGAGAGGCTTGAAGCAACACGATTTCCCTGCCCATCAGTATGCAAATGCTTTTCTGTACTGAGATTGGAGGCTTTTGGAGGAGACTCACCAAGACTGCTCACTGTTCCAGAAGTGACAGGCAATCTCAGAGAGTCACAGAAGTGGAGCAGAGCACACTGGTCCTATTCTCACTCTGCTCTCACCACTGGCACAGAGGCTGGAAAGGAGACAGCTTGTTGGATATTCGAAAGGTAAGTGAGTCTCCACAGGTGGGAGAAAGGGCAAATGTTGCGGTCGTTCATAAGAGTGAATAACTGCCGTGGTGCTGCAACATTTGCAACTTTGGGACTGTGTCGTAAGTACTTGGGGAGGGGTTATATCACGACTTCAAATGGTCGCTAAGTGAACTGTTGTAACTGGGGCATTACCTGTAATTGTCCATACCCAGCCACACTGATAGGGCAAACTAATGTATACAGTAGTCCTTGATTTATGACCACAATTGAGCCCAAATTTTCTGTTGCTAAATGAGTAATTTTTAAGGGAGTTTTATCCCATTTCTTATGGCAGTTGTTAAGTTAGTAACATGGTTGTTAAGTGAATCTGGCTTCCCCATTGACTTTGCTGTCAGAAGGTTGCAAAAGGTGATCAGATGACCCTGGGACACTGTAACCATCATAAATATGAGCCATTTGTGAAGCATTTGAATTTTGATCATGTGACCATAGGTTGCTGCTGGTCGTAAGTGTGAAAAATGGTCCTAAGTCACTTTTTCATGCCATTATAACTTTGAGTGAACACTAAATGAATGGTTGAAGTCGAGGACTACCTGTATAAACAGAGAGCAATCCTCACTGTCTTCTAGTGCTGACAATGTTACCTAGTCAGGTAACAAAACATTTGCAAGCAAACAACCAAGCTTAAAAAGCTCCAAGGTCTCTACAATTCAATCTTGAGCTGTATATATCCTCTTCCTTTGAAGTGTAAAAATCACTTAATGAGGTTTTTTGATAAGTACCAAAATAGTTAATTATATCATAGACTTGTAAGTTCTGGAATATGAAGCCAGGTTGATGCAGTATTAAGACACCAGGCTGGAAACCAGGAAACTATGAGTTCTTGTCCCAATTTAGGCATGAAGCCAACTAGGTGACCTTGGGCCAGTCATGTTTTCTGAGCCCTATGAAGAAGGCAATGGCACACCATTTTTGAAATCTTGACAAGAAAACTGCAGGGACTAGTCTAAGCAATAATCAGAACACGAATGATACACACACACACAAATTTGGAATATGTTCTATGAATGTTCTATCATATGAGTGGTGGCGATGGCAGTAGCACTCCATCACAGCAGATTAAAACAGCAGCCCACCATGGGAGAAAGATGTGGAAAAGGAATGGAGTTAAAGTGTAAGCAAAGTTAAGTAAAATTAAAGAAGGAAATGAAGAAGGAAGGAAAAAGAAGTGGGGCTGGAGAAACATTGCACAGCGGCATAGTACAGTTCTTCAGAAGAGGGGAAGGAGAATAAGTAGAAGTAAACTTAAAGAAAATTTAAAGAAGTAAAGGAAAGAGAAGAAAAAGAAGGAGGACAGGAGAAGGAAAATGAAGATGGGTATAAAGATGGCAGTAAGTGCAATCAGTAGCATCAGAGTTGGACACAACCAGTGGCAGTAGTGGAAGCAGGTTCAGCCAGCAGTAGTGAAGGCAGCAACAGCCAGCAGTGGTAGCAGCTGACTGGTAGCAGCAGTGGCAGTGGAGACAATGAAGCCCTTAGAATAGAGAAGAAGGAAAAGAAAGAGGAGGAAAAGTAAAGTTAAAATAAAGTTTAAAAAGCAAAGGAAGAAGAAGGAATGGCATCAGGATGGCAGTGCAGCGCTATGGCTGAGAATGGCAGCAACCTCATCGGCTAAAATAAATCAGTGGAACAATTGAGAGAAGAAAGGGAGGAGGAGGTTGGCAATGCAGGAAGAAAAATAGAAGAACAATTTATTATTTTTTTTACACTGTTACATTAACTGCAATCTGCTTTTTTTTCTTTGCATTTTTTCTTTTTTTTCCTCTGGCTTACAGATTGTTTTATTTCAAGACTAGCCACAAGAGGGAGCAGAGGATTAATTTTTTAAAGTATTATTTCAGCATTAGTCTCAAGAGGGAGCAAAAGATCAATTTCCAAAAGATGGAAGGAATTAAAATATTGTTATAAATAAAACCCTGCATAAACCCAGTTTACAAATAAATAAATACATTTTAAATTACATTTCATTTTTTTTTAAAAAAAGTTCTTTAATTTTTAGAATTATTAAAATCTTTAAAAGGAAAGATTCCAAAGACTAAAAAATAGATCAATTTATTGTCTTAAAATGTCTTAAAATAAAATCCTTCATAAACCATTTAAAAAAATATTTAAAATTTTATTTTTTTAAAAAAATCAAAATCTTTTATATTTAAAAAATCTTTTAAAAAAAGAAGGCAACCAAAGAGCACTAAATTATACAAAATTAGACAATATTAGAAATACAACTAAAAACAAGATTCTGCTTTCGAACTGCTCAAAATAGTTGATAGCTTACTATTTGTATATATCCTTTTACTATAACTATGGGCTGTCACACTTTTTTTCTTTGATTTAAAAACATTTTCTAAATGTTTTTAAGTTTTTAAAAGAAATACGGACATAAAGGCCACTAAATTAGAATTAGAAATACTGCTAAAAACAAGAAAGTGCTCTGCAACTGCTCGAAGCAATTGAGAATTTACTATTTTTTTACAGATCCAGGAAAATACAGACCAATCAGTCTGACAATATCTGGGACAATTTGGAAAAGATAATTAAGCAGTAGATTTGCACCTAGAAATGAACAAATCGATTACTTAAAGCCAAAATGGGTTGGTTAAAAACAGATCACGCCAAGCAAACTTTATTGCCTTTGTTGACAAAGTGTTTAAAGCAGTGGATCAAGGAAATGCTGTAGGCATAATTTAGACTTCAGTAAGGTGTTTGAAAAAGTAGACCACAGCCTACTTCTTGGTAAGGAAGAATAATGTGGGAAAGATAGCATTACCATCAGATGGTTTCACAACTTGCTGACCAACTGTACTCAAGATGTAATCCTCAATGGAACTACATCTAAATAAAGCATGCAGTGGGGTACCTCCAGGCTCTGTCTTAGGCCAAGTACTCTTTGACATCTTCATAAATGATGGGAATGGAAGGAAGGGAATGGAAGGAAAACAGATCAGATTTCCTGGAACACCAAGCTGGGGGAATTGTTAATGATAGATAGATAGGCAGGCAGGCAGGCACAGGCAGGCTCTTCCTATCTATCTTCAGCAGAGGGATAGTGTGAAGATCATGTGAAGATCATGTGAAGTATTAGTACCACTTAATACTGCACTGGTGAGACCACACTTGGAATACTGTGTCCAGTTCTGATCACCATGATAGAAAAAAGTTGTTGAAACTCTAGAAAGAGTACAGAGAACAGCAACAAAGATGATAAGAGTCATTGTACAGGATAAACTGTACAATGAATGGTTGTAGGAAGGAGGTATGTCTGGTCTAATGAAGAGAAGAACTGGGTGACTTGATAGTATTCTAATATTTGAGAAGCTGTCAAACAGAAAAGAGGGTCAATCTATTTTCCAAAGCACCTGAAGGTAGGATAAGAAGTAACAGCTGGAAGTTCATTAACAAGTGATCCAACCTAGTACTAAGAAGAAATTTCCTGACAATGAGAACAATTAATCAGTGGAATGGTTTAGAATTATAATTCTTTATTGGCGAAGTGTGATTGGACACACAAGGAATTTGTCTTTGGTGCATATGCTCTCAGTGTACATAAAAAGAAAAGATACATTCATCAAGAATCATAAGATACAACATTTAATGATAGTCATAGGATACAAATAAGGAATCAAATCATACTAGGAAACAATCAATATAAATTGTAAGAACACAATCAACAAAATTACAGTCATACAGTCATAAGTGGGAGGAGATGGGTGATAGGAACAATGAGATGATTAACAATAATGCAGACTTAGTGAATAGTTTGACAGTGTTGAGGGAGTTATTTGTTTAGCAGGGTATGGTGTTTGGGAAAAAACTATTCTTGTGTCTAGTTGTTCTGGTGTGCAGTGCTCTATAGCATCGTTTTGAGGGTCGTTTACCTCTAGAAGTTGTGGGTGCTTCATTGCGGGAGTTTTTTCAGAAGAGATTGGACAACCATTTGTCCAGAATAGGAAAGGGTCTCTGCCTGAGTAGGGGGTTAGATTAGAAGATCTCCAAGGTCCTTTCCAACCCTGTTATCCTATATTCTATTTATATATGGAATATACATTATATATGAAACAATTCTGTAGGAGATAATGAAAAATATCTGTTTTATCTTCTGCCTATAGAGAGATGCCTGGAAGATCATGAACTGCTTGCTCAAGTTGAGTCTACCATGGGAAATGGAAGTAAATTTTTATTCAGGAAGAACTATGCAAAATATGAATTCTTTAAGAATCCTGTGGTAAGATTCTATAATTATCCTTTATGTAATCATAATTGTTGAGCTGAAAAGATTTGCTTTCCTTTTGTAAATTATGTAGTATCAACTATTATAAATATCATGGCACTAGTATGAAATAATTTTACTCTGCATGATTGGAACAATTCTCAGTAAAAAACAATATAACAATTGTTTTTTACTTTATGGAAATTATTTCCTATTTTTTGCAGTAACCTTTTGCTTTCAGCTGATACTTATTTATATGCCAGTCTTGCCAACAAGTATCTATTTGGAGAAGAAATCATTACTATTTTGTGGAGCTATATACTCTTAGATTGTACATCTTGAGGTTCCTATTTGAATTTAGTTAACAATGGCTAGGAATACTTAAAGAACCTTAGCAATTAGAACATACAGCATGAGAAGCTATGCAAGAAACTTAGATATTTACACCAGAGATCTAAGAATGGACAGTATAGTTTTTTTTAAAAAAGTATATGGTTGTTTACAGTGATTGATGTGTGTTAAAAGGTGCAGTAAAATTTCCCTTAATAAAATGAAAAGAAATAAAATCTCATCCTTAAAAAACACCCAGTATTTTATTACTGTATTTCAAAAGTGGAAAGCAAATTGGCTACATCTATATCTTAATCATCCCATTTGCATATGGTTATAGTATCTGTTGTAGGTCCTCTTGTGGTATTAAATGTGTATATCATGACTCAACCTATGCTATTGCTCTGATGTTGAGTTTCAAAACCATCTGTGTGGGAGATGGGTTACATAGGTACCCAAGATACAGCTTGTTCAACTAGACAGCTTTTTTTTTTTTTTAGAAAGATCTGTGCAAATAGACCATGCTACTATGATTGAAAAGATACGTCCATATTATCTGCTTTGAGGGCTTATTAGAACACAATGGCAAAATATATATCAAACAATAAAAACAACTCAGCAAAAGTGTATTCAGATTTTTAATACATAGAATTATGTGTTAAATTAGTTAGATGTATGTTAACAGCAATTTATTACCAACATATATTTCTGTTTCTCTCCACTCCAGAATTTTTTTCCAGAACAGATGATTGCTTGGTGTCAACAATCAAATGGTTGTATTCCACAATCACAACTTTTACAGGTAAGCCTTTAAGGGAATGCAGTTGCCTTCCAAGTTGAGCAAAGGAGATAATAAATACATTAATAAGTACATGACAGAATAGATTGGACAAAAGAAAGAATATGTTAAGAATAGAAAAGCACTGAACTAGCATAGTGTTGAGTTTAAATTATTATAGTTCAACCTTTGAAATACCTTTTTGAATTTTGATTTAAAATACTTTGTGGCTTTTCACACATACAATGTGTGGCCAAATATTATTTTCCTTACACAAGATACAAGGAAAAACAGACTTTAATTTGATTCTTGTAAACACTTCCAAAAGCCAATAAAAATAGTAATTGTTAACTATGGCTAAGTGGAATTGACAGATTGCTTGACAGTCAGAATGAAAAATAAACTGAAAAAGAAGGTGAATTAGTGATCCTTCCCCCTCCCCCTCCCCCAACAAAAGTATCTTATATGCAGTGTGGTCATATTACTGCATTCTGATCAGTTTTTGCTATTTTTTTTTTCTTTCAAATAATTCTATGTCAAATGCTACAATTCAGATATATTTATTTATTTTCTGAGTTCAGGAGGAAACCCCCACCCCCTCCCAGTTTTTGGTGTTCTGGTGAGAGAAGGATTTGCCACCAGTAGTATTTCCAGTTTACCCGGGGTATGGCTGACTACTGAAGGTTTCGTTTTAACTGTAGTCTTCGAGGGGTAGTCTTCAAGACTACTAGTCTTGTAGTCTTCCTTCCATGTAGCCAGTTCAGATCACATGACACTATATACTGTAGCTGTTAACTAGTTAACATTTGTACCAGCTATAAATTCTTTAAGAGCAGCCTTGCCTAAAACAAATTGCATTAATCTAGCTGTAAAGTAATATGTACAGGAGTAACAGTTGGCTAGAAACGGAGGCAATTTGGTATACCAGTGAATCAGGGTGAAACCTTTCCTGGCGACAAACCTTTTTCTTCAGAAACAGTGCCATCTCTTTCAAAGTAAAGTTGTTAAAGCAGGACATATCCATTGGAAAAAAGAGTAAAAGGAAAATTTTGTTGAAAAATGCCTTTAATTGTGAGATGTTACTCTTTCCTCTAACCCAAAGGCTGAATTGGGGCCTAAGACAGAATTAGAACTCACAGTTTCCCAATTAAGCTTCATGCCTTAAACATCATATCAAACTGGCTCTCTCTAGCGTGTGTCTGTGTGTGTGTGTGTGAGAGAGAGGGGTGAGTTTCACTTACCTTTGCTACTGGTTCGCTCGTGTGCTTGCACTTTATTCGCTCGCACGCGCACCACATCTACACATGCGTGGACCATATTTGATGATGTCCGTGCAGGTGGGCGGAGCCTCCCGCTGCCACTACCAGTACGCCCAAACCAGGGCGAACCAGTAGCAACCCACCACTGGTGTGTGTGTATGTGTGTAGGTTTTTTGCCCAGGTCTGTCGGTAGTGATTTGCCATTGCCTCCTTATGTTGAGAAAAGTAACTGACCCAAGGTCACCCAGCTGGCTTTATGCCCAAAGTGGGATTATTTTTTTATTTTATTTTTATTTATTTGATTTATATACCGCCCTACTCCCAAAGGACTCAGGGCGGTGAACAGCCAAACAGTAAAAATATATAGATACAAAATTTAAAAACAAAGTAAAATCGAATTAAACAATTTGGCCCAGACAAATTAAAACACCCCAATCATTTAAAAACTGATTAAAATTTGCATAATTAAAAAGAGGGAAAAGATTAGGCCAGGCCAGGATTAGAACGCATGATCTTTCAGTTTCTAATCAGATGTCTTATCACTACATCAAACTGTTTCTCAGTAACCCTGTGCAAATGTTAATATGAGTGTTCAAAGTCTCATATACAAAGTTAAGCTTTTTCAAGTTGGGCTAGAACTCTCAAAATTTCAGGGCAGTTTGATTTGTATACTAGATGTTTTCGAGATTAAATGTTAGTAATACTTGTAGATATCAGGCTGGGGGAGCTAATGATGTATCCCTTGTCAACATGTTTGCTGCTTTGTTTTTAAAACAAAATGAGGAGGGAGTGTGATCAACATAGATTATATACAGTAGATTTGTTCATTGTAGAATAACAACTTGCTATTGTCTTCGTTTTAGGGGGTTATGTCATTGGCCATCTCTGGAATGGTACTATACCCCTATACTTACAACCAAAGTAGCTTCTGATTATAATATGGTGATTTTATTATCAGTAGATTTTAGAATTATTTATTATATGATAATATTTTCCTAGGGAAATAAATTGGAAAATCTCTTCTCTGTTGAAGTGTCTGGCTGTCATGTTAAGGTGGCACAATTTAAAAAAAAAATTCAGCATGAATATTTGTACTCGTACAATAACCAGTTAGTAATAGCTCTTGCATGTACCTATTTCTTTGTAATTGTAGAATTCAACATTTCCATTTATCTTCAACAGAAATTTTTAAATTCAAATAGTTGTCCAGAAATTCAGGGGTTTTTACATGTGAAAGAATTGGGAAGAAAATCATGGAAGAAGCTGTATGGTTGTCTGAGGAAATCTGGACTTTATTGCTCTACAAAAGGGTCTTCAAAGGTACTTTTTAGTTAGACTAGTTTAATAAAGATAACCAATAGACTTTGAAGGCACTGATATCATTTCAGTAATACGTTGGAGTGTAAATTTCAATTATTCTGTGCTCTGGATTTCATTGTAAACTTAGTTTTGGTGCAGAATTTAATGCCAGTAAAGGAGTTCTTAAGGTTTTAGATTAGATCCTTCTAACAAGTTGTGATCTTTATAATTACAGTGTTGCGTGTATCATCATTGAATTATAATTTCACATGAAAAACCCTGTGGGTGATCATCTGTATTTTCTTCCTCTTTGCACAAGAAAGTAGCAGTGTCTCTTTTCTGAGCATTCTCAGTTGCAAATTTTAAAAATAATATTCACAAAATGAATGTCCAGATGACCAATTCCAAATATTTAAAAGCTTCATGTATTCTATGATTCCAATCAGATAGTATATATGTTGTTTTAGATGCTAAGCAATATGCAGCATATTTGTCTTTCCTGTTGTGTAGTCAAAAACATTCCACTGCTCAGTAGGAGGTGAGAATTGAACGGATCTCCCAAGACTCCCCAGTGTAACTGAAACAAACACCACCATGTTGTGATATAGTGGCACAAGAGATATTTATTATTAGTTTGGATAAGTAAAATCTAAATTTGTCTGACTATCTTAATATAATGATAAAATAGAAGAAACATTGACAGCATTATTGTTTAATCCTTGGCCATTAGAGTGAGACAAGTTAAACACCCCAAATATATCATTAAAGATATATTGACATAAAACTGCTGAATTAAAAATAGATGATGCTGACCATTCTTAATGGCTTTCTCCATAATTTATCCCTGGGAATGAGTTCAAAGTTCTACATTGAAATCTCCAAGGATACATTTACTGTATCTTGTGTAAGATTATTCACTTATTCTTCCTGGTACTCCATTAAGATTATTTCCTATTTAATCCAAATTTGTTGGTTTCTGGAATAAGTATCTTGCCAGGCAATGGCTAGCTTACTTATAAATAGAGACCAAAAGCTGGAGCCAGTTTTAATCCTATATATGATATGATTCTGCCTTTGTGGATCAATAAAGCTGCTCAAATGAATAGTGATCTTCAATACATCTTTTAAACAATTCAGTCAATAAATGGTCCCTTCTCTAAGTTTTTTTTTTTTTGGCTTCCCTACTGTGTAAACCAATTTGCTATGTTAGAAAGATTAAAAGGCAGTTAAAGTAGATTAAAGTTCAACATTACATAAGTTGTTTCCTGGAGTTGTGGGTGCTTCATCATTGGAAGTCTTCAAGAAAAGATTGAACAGGCATTTGTCAGGATGGAGTAAGAATTAGAGAACTAAAAGTCCTCTATGATCCTTTTCAATCATATGATTCAATGGTAGGTTCCACTTATCTATGCTATTGGTTCGCAACGGGAGCTTGTGTGTGTGTGTGTGTGTGTGCTTGCTTCGCTCACGTGCGGCGCTTCTGTGCATGCGCAGAGTGTCCATGATGATGTTCGGGTAGGTGAGCGGAGCCTCCCACCACCATTACTACCGGTTCGCAAGATCCGGACCGAACCAGTAGCAACCCACCACTGATATAATTCTATGATTCAAAATAGGCTTAGAAGTTATTTAAAGAAATAGGTTTATCAGAGCAAAACAGCATGGAAATATAAAGTATCTGCAGAAATATGACAGAGCAAACCCATAAGAAGATCTGAAATATAATTAAACTGATCTTGCCATTTTCTTTTCATAAAAGATAAGCATTTTGTAATGAAGCTTACCTTTCTCCCATTTGCTATCACTTTGAAGTCACCCCTGAAACCTCAAACCTGTAGAGGAGCAGGACTTCACTGAATGATCTAAAAAGTTAATCAGAAAAAAGTGTCCCCAAATATAAATTGAGAATTGTGAGGGATTAGTCAATTTTTAAAAGCATTTGATAAGAATGTTAACATTTGATAGAGAAGAAATGCTATGTCTTTAAGCACATACTAGGATTTTGAATATATGGAAGATAGTATTACTGGCCAAGTTTATTGCTGTTAGATGTAACAACTAAGAAATTTTTAGTGTGATTTTATTACCCTTTGGTGGTTCTTCTTTTTATTTTCAGATAATATAAAATAATGATTTAATACTTTTTTTAATTACTTCAACTATTTCCCCAGGAACCAAGACACCTGCAATTGCTAGCTGATCTTGAAGACAGCAATATCTTTTCATTAATAGCATGCAAAAAAATGTACAGTGCACCAACTGACTACGGCTTTTGTATAAAGGTAATGGCTTTAAATCTTACAAGATTTGTGGTTCATGATATTAAATTTTATAGATTTTTATATGACTTTTAAAATAATTGTGATTTCAATTTTATGCTAAATTTTATCCTAGATAGAGAAAAATAATTCAAAATTGACTCTTGCCAAATGGTGTGGCAGGCAGTTATTAGCTACCAAATTGATATAATATTAATGGAGGGTATGGAGGTCCCCATTTCAGACTTTTCCCAAAACAGTAAATTCATTAAATGCCTTTACACTATCTGTTGTACTTTCAGACTTTGCCTGGATTTTTTCAAAAAGGAGACAATTCAGACATTTCTCAGTTTATACGAGCACTCTGAAATGTTCTACAATGTAACAAATGCTTAGGATTTGAATATTACACCTAAACTGTAAATTAATTTCGTAGATGAAAGACAGAATTAATATTTTGTTGTTTATTCTGTAGCCCAACAGAGTAAGGAATGAAGCTAAAGAATTAAGATTTCTGTGTGCTGAGGATGAACAAAGCAGAACATGTTGGATGACTGCCTTTAGACTACTCAAGGTATTGGATAACTATGGGGCTAGTTCATATTTATGGTAGCCTGGGTGTGAATTGAGATCCTGCATTCATCTTTCATATGGACTCAAGCACAGTTAAGATTTTTCTAAGAAACCATTTTATTTAGATTTAATAAATTATTATCTTTGCAATAGAGGGCAGGCAGATAGGAAAAATCCAGGGCTGGATCAAGTGAAGTTCACTTATTCTAAAATAAGGATGATAGAAGTGAAACTGGTAAAAGTAATTGTTACAAAGCAACCCGAACAAAAATGAACATTTCAGGATGTGTGCAGCAGTCTGTCCAAAGCTATATGTCATTGAAGAGCCATTCTCGCTGTAGATCAAGCAGGGGGAGTTGGCACAGTCAGTTTAGGGAATGCCAGATGCTTCAGTATAGAATGGCTTCAAAAGGTTAGTTGGGGTTCTAAAGATCTAGAGATAGTTCAGAGCAGCTGCTCTACTATAAATATCCCCATTTTGGTCAAAATATTTTTGAAAGTAGTGGCCAGCAAGTTTTGTGCATTAAAGTATATGAATTCTCCAGAACTGTTCCAGTCAAATTTCAGGCTGAAGTTTTTTTTTTTTTATTTTGATTTATATGCCGCCCTTCTCCGGAGTCTCAGGGCGGCTTACAATGCGTTAAGCAATAGCCTTCATACTTTTGTATATTTATAAAAAGTCAGCTTATTGCCCCCACAAACTGGGTCCTCAATTTACCTACCTTAGAAAGGATGGAAGGCTGAGTCAACCTTGAGCCTGGTGAGATTCGAACTTACAGTAATTGCAGACAGCTGGTATTAATCACAATGCTATCAGTCTGCTGAGCCACCAGGCCAATTGTCCTTGTCACCAGGACAAAAATTGTCCTTGTCACTTGACAAATGATCTCTGCAGGGGAAAAAGAAATATTTAAATAATACATCAGAAGGCCTAACGTGAAAAGAAAAATACTTCCTCAAAATGTCTGTGGAGATTCTCAGTCATCTAGGTCATAGTTGTCTCAAAATGTGCTTTTTCAAAAAAAAGCAATTGGACTGTATTTTCCATGACAAAGAAGAAGAAAATGTTTTTCTTCTCATCCGAGAAGCTTCATCAATTGTGATGATGGAATCCATCCCCACCTTCACAACCGATGAAGCTTCTTGGATGAAAAGCAACATGTTTGAGACCTGCCTCAAAAGTGAAATGTGAGGTGCCATCTACCTTGTCTCATTCACTGTGATCCTTGGCACCCTAATTTTTCCCTCCCTATCATAAGTCTGCCCTTGGTGATTAAAAATAGCTAACTTTGTTTTTGATTATGCTGTGATGATACTAGATAGAATAAAAAAGAATTATTTTTCAAAGCCTCAAACAATTTGGTTAAAAATAGACAGTAAAAATAAAAGTAAGCCCTTTGTCCCTTTGACTATAGATTCTTTATATAATTCTTTAAAAACAATGGTCCTTATATATCAATAACTTAGAAGGTTCTTTTTGCCAGATATCAAAAGCTAGTCAAATAATATTTAGGCTAGTCAAATCATGTTTAGAATCAGGCACCTGGAGGATAAAAGAAAGATATATTTCTGAATACTTTTATGTAATACTTCAAAAGATAGAGATTCTCACCTAGGAAACAGTGTAGGAAATACACTGCTCAAAAAAATAAAGGGAACACTTAAACAACACAATGTAACTCCAAGTCAATCACGCTTCTGTGAAATCAAACTGTCCACTTAGGTAGCAACACTGATTGACAATCAATTTCACATGCTGTTGTGCAAATGGAATAGACAACAGGTTGAAAGCATAGGCAGTTAGCAAAACATCTCCAATAAAGAGGTGGTTCTACAGGTGGTGACCACAGACCACTTCTCAGTTCCTATGCTTTCTGGCTGATGGTTTGGTCACTTTTGAATACTGGCAGTGCTGTCACTCTAGTGGTAGCATGAGACGGAGTCTACAACCCACACAAGTGGTTCAGGTAGTGCAGCTCACCCAGGATGGCACATCAATGCGAGCTGTGGCAAGAAGATTTGCTGTGTCTATCACTGTGTCTATTGTAGTATCCAGAGCATGGAGGCGCTACCAGGAGACAGGCCAATACATTAGGAGACATGGAGGAGGCCGTAGGAGGGCAACAACCCAGCATCAGGACTGCTACCTCCGCCTTTGTGTAAGGAGGGACAGGAGGAGCACTGCCAGAGCCCTGCAAAATGACCTCCAGCAGGCCACAAATGTGCATGTGGCTGCTCAAACAGTCAGAAACAGACTCCATGAGAGTGGTATGAGGACCCGATGTCCACAGGTGGGGGTTGTGCTTACAGCCCAACACCATGCAGGACGTTTGGCATTTGCCAGAGAACACCAAGATTGGCAACTTTGCCACTGGCGCCCTATGGTCTTCACAGATGAAAGCAGGTTCACACTGAGCACATGTGACAGATGTGACAGGGTCTGGAGCGCTGTGGAGAACGTTCTGCAGCCTGCAACATCCTCCAACATGACCAACCGGCAGTGGGTCAGTAATGGTGTGGGGTGGCATTTCTTTGGAGGGGCCACACAGTCCTCCATGTGCTTGCCAGAGGTAGCCTGACTGCCATTAGATACCGAGATGAGATCCTCAGACCCCTTGTGAGACCATATGCTGATGCGGTTGGCCCTGGATTCCTCCTAATGCACGACAATGCTAGATCTCATGTGGCTGGAGTGTGTCAGCAGTTCCTGCAAGATGAAGGCATTGATGCTATGGACTGGCCCACCCGTTCCTCAGACCTGAATCCAATTGACACATCTGGGACATCATGTCTCGCTCCATCCACCAATGCCATGTTGCACCACAGACTGTCCAGGACTTGGGGGATGCTTTAGTCCAGGTGTGGGAGGAGATGCCTCAGGAGACCATTGCCACCTCATCAGGACCATGCCCAGGCGTTGTAGGGAGGTCATACAGGCACATGGAGGCCACACACACTACTGAGCCTCATTTTGATTTGTTTTACGGACATTACATCAAAGTTGGATCAGCCTGTAGTGTTCTTTTCCACTTTAATTTTGAGTATAACTCCAAATCCAGACCTCCACGGGTTGATAAATTTGATTTCCATTGATAATTGTTGTGTGATTTTTTTAAAAAAAATAGTCTTTATTTACATTTTCCATTAAAAACAAAGAAATAACAATACACCATATAAATAACATACAACACAAAAAACATTACAAATAACACACAAGTGGTAGGTACAGATAGTACCTTCATATCTAAGTATTCAATATGATATTACATTCCAGGGGAGATAGAACAACTCATATCTCTTTATATATCAATTAGGTCTGACCGACCTCACTTAATATAGTTTCCTCCTTAACAATCCTTCCTCATTTAATTTGGGTTATGATATTCTCTTCTCTAGCCAAATGTATAGTTTCTCCCAGGATAAACATATTTGTGTTTGGTCCTTATCTTTTAGTTTTTTGGTTAATTTGTCAGCTTCTGCACAATCCAGAATCTTTTTTATGATTGCTTCCTCTGATGGGATATTCTGGTTTTTCCAAAATTGAGCGTATATTAATCTTGCCGCTGTAATAATGTGAAGAGCTAAATACCTTGAATCCTTCTTAATCTTATCCGGTTTGGAGCCGAGCAAGCATGTCTCTGGTGACCATTCAATTTTTTGTTCTAAAATCTCATTCAGCCATTTTTTAATTTTCCCCCAAAATTTTTTTGCTTCCTGGCATGTCCACCATTGATGATAGTAAGTGCCTTTTTTTGCCCACATTTCCAACAAATAGCCGATTGTCCAGCAAACATTTTAGCCAGTCTATCAGGGGAGAGATGCCACCTATATATCATCTTATAAATGTTTTCTTTGTAGGTCGTGGAGACTACTGATTTCATATTTTCCCACCATATCCCTTGCCATTTGTCTAAGTGAATTGGGTACCCAAAATTTTTCCCCCAGGCAATCATTGTGTCTTTGATTATCTCATCACCTATCTCTAATTCCATTAGTAATTTATAACTTTTTGAAATCATGCCTTTTTCTTGGCCCATCAAGATTTTATCTAATTTTTGTAAATCCACGTGTATGCCTTTTCCATCTCTATCTTTTATAAATTTGGATTGGATCTGCAAATAGGTCCACCAATCTATTTGTATTCCTAATGAGTTCAATTCCTGTTTAGATTTTAGTTTTCCCTGTACATTCAATAAATCTTTGTATGTTAATTTCTTTGTTGGCTTATAAAGTTTAGGATATGTCAATGCTTCCACAGGTGATATCCAGCACGGTGTTTTAATATAATATTTTTTACTGATCTTTTCCCAGTGTCGAATTAGAATGTTCCTTATGTAATGTCTAGTAAACCATTTACTTTGTGGAGAGCCATTTCACCAGAGTGCCATATGCCAGCCCTGTTGTAGGTCGTAACCTTCTAGTTTAAGAAGACAGTTATTACCCAGGGTAATCCATTCTTTTACCCACGTTAATAACGCTGCTGAATAATAGTTCTCCCAGCATGGTAGTCCTAGGCCTCTTTCTCTTATCTCCTGCATCATCTTTTTCTTAATCCTTGGTTTTTTCCCCTGCCAGATAAATTTAATTATTATTTTGTTTAGTTCTTTGAAAATTTTTTTGGATAAATTCGCTGGGGCAGTTTGAAATAGAAAATTAAATTTTGGTAAAATGTAAGACTTAACTGTTGTTACTCGTCCTAGAAGTGAGAGTTGTATTTTACTCCATTTATCTAAGTCTTTCTTTATCTGAGATAGTAATTTATTGTAGTTCTCCTCTTGTATACTCGAACATCTACCAGATAACCAAATTCCCAAGTATTTAATTTTATTAACTATTTTCAACCCGGTCACTTCCTGTAATTCTTTTTTATCTTCCTCTAAAATATTCTTTGTTAATAAGTTTGTTTTCTTTTTATTAATCAATAATCCTGCTACTGCCCCGAATTCCTCAATCATCTCTAATAGGTGTGTGCAGGATTTTATCAGCTCTTCCAGAATGAAA